TATTTGTGACAAGTTTATAACACCAGTGATTACCACTTTGCCGCTATGAAAACAACAAAAATGGACTCCTTCTCTTTTAAAATTTAGAGAGGGAAATAATTCGGGTTCATACACGACATGTCTTTCTTTCGCCAACAACTGCAAATTTAACGCGGTACTTAAGGTGTGACTAGCGGATATTGTTATCAATTTGATCTCTTTCAACCGTACTGTAAATCCAAGACGCTGTATACGTCTTGCATATTGACGTAGTCTCTGACGCCCCTCTGTAATACTGGGTGCCTTTCCGTTGCAATTAATTACACCATTGGAGAAAACTAAACAATTTCCGCCAATGGTTTTGTGTTGCCAAATCAATCCGGGAAATCTTTTTGGATCATAACGGGCGTTAGCTATACAATGGCATAAATGCCTCAAGTCAATGGAACAGCTTAAGTTAGCGCTGCACACAACGTTGGTAATTATCATCATGTGAAGTCTCAAATCTCAATATCATTAATGACAATTTCTCTGGGGGTATATCTGTTTTATATACAAAAATGATCACGTGACTTAAGAGTAGTGTGTCAGGTCCTTTTCTGGGATCCAGCTATCAAATTTCTTAGGCCAATGCAACCAACGTACTAGTACTTCCTTTCGTTTGTTTCGCGTCCTTTTCTTTAATATTTTTTCAACGTGGTATTCTGTATTTTCGTCCACACTAACTGCCTGTAATTCTTGTTCGTAAAACGTGCCATCAATTTTCTCTTCATTGGCCCAGTCAATTAAGGTATATACGCATACATTGTCTCGTTTGAAACGGCTTTTGATTTTGAATATTTCCCCAGTCCACTTCTGAGAGTACTCTCTGTCAAACACGCTTTTCACGTGCGATACTCGTACTGTCTGACCTACTTTGAACCTGTAGTGTCTAATCTTGTGTTTGGTTGGCCTGCCTTTGGTCCTAAGTAAGTACTGCTGAAGTCTGCTTTCTCCTTCTGACTTTTTAGTAATGTTTATCGGTTTATCACCAAGACTTCTATGTATAGTTGAGTTATATGAAAGTACAATATTCCTAAGCACGTCAACGTAACGTTGGGTTCTGTTTTTTATCATATATCTAAACAGTTTATGCTTTAGTGTCTTGATACCTATCTCCGCAAAGTTCGCTTTTGTCTCCGTATTTAAAGCGTAGAAATGATGAATGTTCATGTGCTGAAGATATTTATTGACCTTTTGGCTTCTAAACTCCATGCCTCTGTCTGTTCTCACCGTATTTGGTTTTCTAGGACCGGATAAAATTCGCTCTAATGCATTAACAACATCGCCCCCTTTCTTGGTTTTAATAGGTTCACAATAGCCAAAGCGAGAAAAAATATCTATTGCCACTAAAACGTATTTATAACCGTCATTTAGTTTTGCCAAGTCAACCATATCCATCAAGTCCATATCCCATTGGCTGTCTATCCCTTCTACAATCACACGTGATCGAGGAAACTTTCTTCTGGCTCCTCTAGTCAGGGAATAAGCCTGCTGACTTTGAAGCCATTTTCGGATTTTATGCCTCCCAATTTTAAATTTTCCCTCAGACTTGATATATTGGTACAATTTTTCTACACCTGAATAGCTTGCTGGGTTGGATGTGTCAAAATACAAAGAAGACAAATATTGTTTCCAGTTAGACATGTTTATTGACAACAAATACAAATACACATTCTTACAAAATTATAACAAATGTTTCCAAAACATATTACAATACAGTGGAGTATAAAGTATGTGTTCTGGTGTCTTCTATATAACGTTCCAAAATGTCAAGTAAATGTTCTGTAGCTTCGCGATATTCTCGTCTCACTTGATAGTGTCTCAGCCATATCCAAACCATACAGACAAGTGTTAACATATTCAATGCGTTTGATGGGTCGTGATAGCCTTATTATTGACAAACAAATTTGCTGCAGTTGTAGTTGAACTGAATCCTCCAAAGCCGTAAGGTGTTGGCCTAGTTGTTGATACAAACGCGCCAAATCCGCCTATTGGGGTCGGTTTTTGTTGAGGAGCGCCTACTATTCTTATATATTCGCAGTTTGGAGACCACTTGTAATGTTCTCTCAATGCACAGTCCGACCTTTCCCAAGCACTCAATTTCACGTGACATCGAAAACACGCACACACGTCAGCTTTGCCGCTGTAATACAATCCTGCACTTGCTAACTGGTATTTATCTGGTAACATTTGTTTCGGATAGGTTTCAAACGTCTTCAGTCTATTTTCGTAATATTCCATATTTTTGTTGAGGGGTGTGTTGTCAGTGACGTTCATTTTGTGTATGCCAAAGCTTCGTGGGATATTCATTTATATACACACGGTTTAATTGCTGATTGGATGTTATTTTTAGAATGAGGTTGTCGATCTATTTATAGTACTTTTGTCATTGCTATTTATAGTTTATTTTACCAGTTTTGACAATCATTGGGGTTACACTCTGAACATTGTAAAGCTCCAATCTGGTTCATGTGATCACTTTGTAAATAACAGGGTACCACTGCATCCAATTCAGGTAACACTCGTCCTATTTCTGCAACCAGTTCCTTTAAACAGGAATATTCTTTGGGTCTTAAACATATACCCTTTTTAGTTGGTACTATTTCCTGTTCTGGCTTCCAGTACTGTCTAATGTCTACACATACGCTGTTGTCGGTGATGTTACAGTAAACATTTCCTCCAACGTGGGTTTTATAGCTTTGCTTGTTTTGTAAAGCCCTGTCAACATATTCTAACTGATCTACCAAGTTTTTCCATCGCATTAACGTTAAGCTGATGCCCTTTTTTGTTGGTTTATCACCCTCCCATTCTCTAATATCGACTCTCAGCTCGCCTTTCCATTCATTCACTTGTACATATCTCTGATTACCGATACTAAACTTGCATCTGTAGCTAGTCATGTTTATTGGTCGAGTATCAGAACTCTAATGAACAGTGTTAGTGTCTCACTGTCTTATATACAACAAAAGTCTCTCCTGATTGGTCACTTTCTTCTTGCATTTGATTGGTTGTCTAAAGAAACGTTTTTATTGGTAGTTATTTTTAGAATAGAACATCATTGCTAATTTTAGATATATACATCATCAAACACGTTTTATATATAGGTGACTCCTTGTTAAGGTTTATTTGTGACATTTCAAAAGACTATTGTTAACCCAACTTTAGACAAATAATCTTTGACAGTTGAATGGAGCATTGTCCGCATTTCCGTCCCTAAATAAACACACGCCAGACATTGTGGCAACTTTAAGGGGATTAACTTTAACTTTTCAATAGGCCATTGTTAGTGTTTCCGTCTCTCAATAAACACACGCCAGACATTGTGGCGACTTTAAGGGGATTAACTTTGACATGTTTACTTTTCATTGTGGAACATCCGTCCTTAAATAAATAAACGCTCGACAATGTGACTATGATCACGTTCGTTGCACTCGTGACCTAATCTAAATATAACTTATGATGTCGCTTGTAAAAACAGGTCCGAGCATGCGCAATAAGTACAATTACATGTATGATTGGAGTCATTTTATAACTGGACGTCTAGCAGGAAACATCGTCAACAAAAGTATTATTTTCAGGTAAAATGTATTTATTTTATACATTGTTTAATGTTTAAGTTTAAATGAAATGAATAATTTCGTTTTATATATTTATTTTTGCATCAATATAGTTCGTTTTAATTCAATCCTTGTATGGATAAATCTATATGATATTTAAATATATTTCGTATATAGTTCTTTTTATCTGTAATTTATTTTTACATGTTATAAGTACTTTTTCACTAATATTGTTCAACAATTTATTTACTTATACTGTTTGATAAGTTTTGATAATAAAATAAAATTGATTTCTCTGTATTATCTTGTCATCTCTCAGCACCTAACCCTCAATGTGCGCGACCACGCCCTAGATCGTGTATACGAGTCAGCTCCGTATACTTCCGGGAGATATTTTTTATTTCTATTTATAACGTGATGATGTCATTCTTAAAAAAGAATCCAAAATGGCCGCCGCGCGTCTGTTATTCAACACGGCCGCTGCGCATGTGTAGTAAGGTCATTTCTTCTATGTAAATGAATTACTTTTTATAAAAACAAAATGGCCGCCGCGCATGCGCAGTCTTGGGGGTAAAGAGGCGCATATACTACTTCAGACAGTCATTATTTGACCTTTAGTTACAATATCGGCAATACTTATAATTTTGGTAAAATAAATATAATTCATACAAATGGTTATAATTTATCAACTTTGATTATTAAACTAGGTCTTTATACTTTTCCATACACACAATATATTCTTGCATATCAGACAGGATTATCTACCGTTTTCACCGGGGCTGGAAAACTCTATCTTACACCCCCCATGTAAGACAAGACGCGTGCTTTAAATGACGTCAATGACGCGCGCCTTTTATGAATGAATTGCGTTCTTAGGATGACGTCATTTTTCCGTTATGAATGAAGCTGTAAGTTCATACGCTACTATAAGAAAAAAGTGCGTAATGAGAATATCAGTTTTCATAATTTCTGTTCCGAAAATAATTGACATGTAATATGCAAGAAAAAGAATCAAACACCGGCTGTCGGTACAGACGGGAATATCTAGCTCTCGGGTAACTGTTTAGCGGAAACTCGGCAGAGCCTCGTTACTGCCGTAAACAGTTACCCTCGAGCTAGATATTCCGGTCTGTACCGGCAGCCGGTGTAAGATTCTTATATTATTATTACTCTGAACATATAAGAGACATTCATAATATTTTGTAACGTTTCGTTTACTGAAAACCACAAAGAATCTATCCAATTCAAAACAGTCCTCAAACTTCACAGTAATATAATTTCAGAATCAAAACATCTTTGCTATAAATATGTAAATTATAATGTGAAAGTTTATGTATCAGCAAAAAGTGTTGCACTACGATATTAGCTGTTTTGAAATAGATAGATGTACCATTACAGACAAAAAAATGTTTTAAAACCTACCAAAGATGGTCCAGTTGTTCAGGTATTCTTTGAGTATAGTCTTCTCGCGGCGTTTGAGCAGAACCTGTAATATAATCAGCAGTTACTGAAATAAATTTCCAGACATAGGTAGACGCAAAACAGAAAGTAAAATCGAAGTTTATATTTATCATTCTTATTATTTTTATCATCATTATTCGTATGGACGGTATTATTTGAAATAATCTTAGAAATAAAATTTTCAATCAAAACAAAATAAAATAAACATTTACACGTATTATCTTTTATTTTCAATGTAATAAAAGTTTAACCATATTTTAGATGCAAATTTCTGGGCGTGGTTTGCTGTGATAAAATACAATGTATTTCTTTTCCTTTTTACAACCGAAGAGTTTCACATTGTTTTGCTTTAAGCTGCTTTCATTTGAGATTGTCATCGTTTTTATGTGTGTGTTTTTGTTCATAGCTCCTCCCAGCTATCTACTTTTCCTGAATATTTATACATCATCTCGTCGTTGCTATGTTTTCTGGTCCCTCGTGACTATTGATGTTAATACTCTTTATTGTTAACAAACAAAGCTTCAAAGGGCAAATGTTAGAGTATAGGAATGACAGCTTAAAAAAACACAATAAGTAGATTCGGTCTGAAGTCTTCTATTTTACTATGAATAAATCTTCCCTTTTTCCACAAAAGCATGGGCTAATCGAACTTTGTAAACATAATCACTGGTATACAGCTCGCAACAGGCCAGCTTTATAACGGATAGACCCGTTTGATATCAAGTCAGTTTAGATTTTACCTGGCACACAATGTCAAACGCATCTGGTGAGTTTGTGACAAACATGGCAAATTCAATTCTCGTGGCTCTGTGTGCTGTCATCTTGCGGTAATCATTTTCGTTTAAAAGGCCTTTCTTCCGTAGCAGTTCACTGAAGTATAAGGTGAAAAAATATTTAATGAACTAATCTAAACTTTTTTAGGAAATCTTCTGAATTCTTGAATAATTTTCATACAAACGGATTAAACCATAAGCTTAATTGCCCGCCCAAATATAAAAATAAAATGCTGCGTAAATAAATAGGAAATAATTGCAAGGAAGACATCTCAAATAAATCTACTAACGAATGAGTTTGCACTAGTTATAATAAATTAAGTTGTTAAAATTAAGCAAGTTTATACCTTACCAAGATTTTAAAACCATTTCACCACTGAGAGTGTAACATAGCTTAGATTTAGAAGCTATTGATAAATCCCTAAGCTCGTCTGGAACCTCAATGCTCTTTTCTGGTGTGTCTGAAATAAACACTTAGATTTGACAATTTTATTTATCCAGACGTCTTTTTAAAAAAATAACAAAGACATGCCTTACAGTTGTTAATAAATCTTAACAATTTAATATGAAGCTTTCAGAATGACTGCATGAGTAAAAACATCAAGATGAAAAAAGCAGCAAGTAGTAGGGGTATGTTCTGTGCCAAAATTGTCGCTTTAAATTCATAACTGGATGAATGACATAAAATGTAATATACAGTGCATGTGAGTGCAATGCTATGTTTTTATGTAAATGGAAACTACATGTACCTTCTAAAATTGACATATACATCCCTACAAGACCTCTTGCTACTGGTTTTGGTGCAGATTGATCGTGTGATTCTATTCCATGGAAAGTATTGTCAGAAGATATGAACATAGTCACATATGTTATTACAGCTTCCGGTTGACCTTCGAATTTGAATAATGGTTTGAAGTAAGTCCATTGCATTTCCCCTGCCTCACTTACACAAAGGATGTATATAGGTGTATTTATACATGTTGCTGCTGCATAGATACATAACTTCGCATAAGGTTTATATTTTTCATCACTTTTACAATCTTCGATAACCCTTTGGTAAAATGTATCCAAATCAGCTTCACTTTCTTTGCTTTCGGTCTGACTATTTGATAACACTTCTGGTGGAATATCGTCGACAAGTATTGTCAAAACCGATTTGAACTGCTTCTTGTGTTTCGATAGAAGATCAACAACACCTTTCTTAATAACATCTGGTTTGGTATAATCTTCAATGGTAGTTCCTTGAGTCGTTTTGTTTTTGTTTCGAGCTGTTATCCGCAACAACAGATTTTTTATACATAACGCAAGACAGCCGAACAACGTATAGCCATCATCTTCAACAACCCTGTTCTCAGCCTCTTGCCTAAGTAACAACCGTATATCTCCCAGCTCAACTTCAGGAACATCTTCTAAATCGCTTATTTCATCCATTTGTTGAAACAAATGTTATCTTGTATGTGTTTTACATGCACTAGCACTCTTTACATATAGACCTGAAATGAACAAGACACAATGTATTACTGTGAAATCATTTGTATTCGTGGGCATGAAATTTCGTGGTTTTATCAAAACAGGCATTTTCGTGGGTTCTTAAATTCGTTGATTTTCATTTTCTTGTAAAAAAAAAATAAGTAATGGAAAGTAATCTTTCACTTAATCACTGCGCTGTTTTACTTACCCCGTGTATATAACACAGCTCTTGTCAATAAATTTAATCCTGGCCTCTGGCAGTAACACGATTACTGCCGATAATTGACTGCAATTAACACCTTTGTGTGACATGATATGCAGCTCGATTATATGCCCCTATAATTCGCCAATGTAAACATCGCATAAATTATACGACATCTGCCAATTTTTAACCAGCCAGTAAAAAAGTTAACACCCCGAATTAGTCCAAAACTACACACTACATCACATCGACTGTGTAAATTTATATGCATATAAATTAATACCAGTAAATGGCTCAATACAGTTACATACATGTATGTGTGCATCTAGTGTTAAGACGACGGCTTCTTTGATATTTTCGGAATAGCAGTCACACAAATACATATTGAAAAAAATATATTTAAATGGATCATATAAACACTAGTCGTTAAAAGTTTTATCGGGGATAATTAATGCACTTGGTTCCCATATTTACTCGATTATGTCACGTATTCTGGCTAACACAATCAAGTAGCCTACAACGATCAAGTAGTCCCCTGATGTTTACATGCGACGAACATTTGTGACAGCAAACTGAAGAAGCAAACTGAAGACATACAATCGATTTTTCTTTCAAGTTTCTTAAATATTGCAAAATTAAACTATTTATGGATTTAATTTGTCACTGACCTGATTATAATATACATTCATACCACAAATATCGGCCGGAAAAGCGCCGACGCATGTTGTGATATATGGAACAGAGACATGGTAAGAAGCGTTTGTTGGGATAAAATTTCGTCGGGTCTTAAATTCGTGGATTGACCTATCCACGAAAACCACGAAAATTCGTGCCCCACGAATAATGATGATTTCACAGTATTATAATTATCACATAAGTTTATTTCAGATAATATTACGTTGTTTGTGCATTATTTAAAAACGTATCTGTCTAATCACTTGACAAAATTGTTCTCAAATATCAAATAGATCAATTAAGAAACTAAAAAAAACAACAACAAAAAAACATGCTCTTGCTTTTGCCAGATTTCGAGATAAGATCAGCTTGTACGTATTGTTTTGTCATACCTATTGTACTATACCCACAGCAGAGCAATTCAACGCCTGTAAGAGGACACTTTTTAGATATATGTTAGCTTCAAAGGGGATTTAGTGCAGTTGAAATATACGGTGTCTTGCTTAAGCCAGTTAATGACACCTATTGACATACAAGCTTTTTTGTCGCCCTTTTGTATTTTACGAGTATAGTCTTCAGATAATGTAACGAGATTTTACATTTTCACGAGAAGAAACTCTTAGCACTATTCAACGTTGAATTTGTCTTATGTTTAACATTAATCCTCGTGAAAATGGCTTCGAGATAATTGACTTTAATTCTTGCATATTTCTTTTGAGAATTATAGCTTTTTTTACACTTCCAGTGACTATAGTAAAAATTCTTCGAAAGAGAAGCGTGCTAGACTATTCTCAGTGATTGACAGTAAAACAAGAGCCTAGATAATGTGGAATTTTCTACGTTCAAAAGGGTCCATAGTTCTGTAAAAATCGATATTAGAGTTATGGGCCTTGTATAGTTGCCTCCTATAATGCTCTCAAGTAAGTATGCAAAGTTTTAACACATTTCTTTTAGTTGTTTTTTGAGACGCAAATACATAACCTGGGTTTGTTCAGTAAGCGCTCTTTACCCTTCGAATAGACGAGCTAAATATTTAGCAAGAGATCTTGCATCTTTACCGGCGATATTTTAACTGCTTCAAACAGGACACAATAGAAAGTGAACTTAATTGCGCAAATGGGAAGTAAATTCAGTTTATCGTCAAAACCAAAGTCCACTTCCGGTTAGAACCCCAGAAACATTCTGAAGGGCCATGACCATTTAATCATGAAATAAATGAACTCAAATCTTTTGAGTTCTTAGTTTGTCTATATATCATAGTAATAGGTTACGTTTTCCTGTCTTTTAAGGCAATAATGTTTATATAACAGATATTCAAACTAATAAATTTTCTCAGGATGAATATGTATAACTTATATTTCAACTTTTCTCTTTTTTAATCTTTTACACCATGAGCATATCGTGAAAAATGGCCGTTTTCATTGAAAAGCTTCCTTTAACAAGTTCAAAATTCTATGAAACTATGAAAAATGATTCAATACTGATGAAACTTGACCACAAATGTTGACTGGACCATAGCCTCTGTAACAGCATGCTCAATCTTAAATTTACTGTAACCATGGCAACGGGGGGCGTCTCAAAATCACTATTTTGCATTGCTTTTTTCCATCAAAACTGATTTCAAAGTGCTGCAACTTCCAAATGGATTGAGATTGAGTAAAAGGCTTTTCAGCGTAGGTTACACGTTACCTAAAGATCGACCTGAGGCCAATTTTAGCCTGTGACATGTCCAAAATCTTTTTGGCGATGAGGGAGACTGCCGCCCCCTTCAACCCCCCCCCCCCCGCCAAACAGAAGGCACGTCCCCCTTCTGGCAATCTCTTGATGTACCATTTTGTTGGGGGCGGCGCCGAAAAAGTGATCACTTTTTTAAACAACATTTCTCAAACGAAATCAGTGTTTTTGGCTGAAATAGGGCATTTTTTCACCGTTTGAGGCCTCAAAAGGAGGAAACAAAATGCCGTCAAAACACGTCTATATAAGGTAAAAGGTTAACTAAATTTGTTGAAAAGTTCAAAACAGTGATCTTAGTAAACAGTTTTTTCGAACGGACAGACGTAAATCTTTAAACATCCCTGGTTGCAACCAGAATATAACAGTTTTATAGATTTTTATTTTCATATTTCAAGTTTCATTAAAATATTTACAGTATTGTTTTGCTTTATCATCACGATATCCAGTTTTGTGAAACGACGGACTGATGGAGGGACGGATGGAAGAACTGAGGAGGTTGAACGGTAAAACCGGTAGGGGACTAAAATAATCAAAATAAATTGGTATATTATCATTCAATCAGCATAACATAGAATAATTCAGTCAACATAACATAGAATACAAATGATCTGTGTGTTCAAACAGCTCTAGAATTCCCTATTTAAAATCTAAAAATATTTATTATGTTCAAATTCAAATCGTTTAAGTAATAGTTAACTCTGGCAATCGCAGGCAATCAAAACTTTTTAGTGGTACATATGACCGGAAATGATCATATACGGCTGTTATGTTTTCTCCCTCGATTATATAGTTTACAAAGCCTTTTAAAGTACCAATTAAACGGCAAAAATGTCGTTTTGATGCAATAACATTAACCACTCAGGCCTACGGCCTTCGTGGTCAATTCCTACGCATCAAAACTCCAAACCGGTGTTAAATAACCGATAAACACCGCTAAGACCGATATCATTTTCTTAAATACACCCCTGCCACGCGTACACCCCTGTCACGCATAATT